TCTCTGCCCCTCCCCTGTTTGCACTCTCTCTCTTTCAAAATAAACAAACATTAAAATAAAAAAAATTACCAGTGCTCTGTAATGTCTGAAATATTCATATCTCTCCAATTGAAGGCTCTGTTAAAATACAAAACAAATGCCTTAAGAGAAGTAACATTTTAATTGCTATCATTTATTCCTTTTTTGGAAGTGTGTTTCAGATTCTTTCTTGGCAGTGGATTTTGATCAAGAATAGAAGGATATTGGATTCTGTGGGATGAAATAGAGATGAAAAAAAGCATAATGTTGTTCAAGACACCCTGGGACACCTTGCCTGTTTGTCATTTTGCCAGTGATTGGTACAGCACAAAAAGTAGAATCTGATTTACTAAGAAACTGATGTACAAATACTTATTCTATAATTAAAAAAAAACCTTTAAGCTTATAGAAAAGTTACAATAGTACAAGAAACTCCCATATATTCTTCTCCTAAAATGTTTTTAATGTTTTTTTCTTTTGGGGGGGCAGGGAGAGACAGAGCACAAGTGGGGTAAGGGCAGAGAAAGAGGGAGACACAGACTCCAAAGCAGGCTCCAGGCTCCAAGCTGTCGGCACAGAGCCTGACATGGGGCTGGGACTCACAAACTGTGAGATCGTGACCTGAGCTGAAGTTGAACTCTTAACTGATTGAGCTATCCAGGTACCGCTCAACTTCTATATATTTATCTTCACTTGATAAAAGCCCCTAGTTACACAATCATTGTGTCTCCTCAATTGTTTATTCATTATGTCTAGAGTTTGCTTAGATTTGAGTTCCATCTGCTATCATTTCTCTTTTGCACAAAGAATTTTCTTTAGTATTTCTTGTATAGCAGATCTGCTGATAAAGCCTCTCGATTATCATTTATCTGTTGATGTTTCATCTATCTAAACATATTTGAATAGCTACTTTAAAGTCCTTGCTGTTAATTCAACATCTGGGTCATCTAGGAGTCAGGTTATATTGACTATTTAAAAAAATTTTTTCCACTTCTTTATTATTGAGAGACAGAAAGAGACAAGAGCATGGGCATGAGAGGAGCCTAGAGAGAGACACAGAATCTGAAGCAGGCTCCAGGCCCTGAGCTGTCAGCACAGAGCCCAACGAGGAGCTCAAACTCACAAATCGCGAGATTATGACCTGAGCAGAAGTTGGATGCTTAACCGGCTGAGCCACCCAGGCGCCCCTATATTGACTATCTTTTGACTTGGCTATGCACCACATGCCCCATTTCTTCTCTTGACTGTGGATCTCATTTTCCTGTTCTTCCCATCCCTGTAATTTTTTTTTTTATTGTATAATAGACATTGTGGGCGATATGTGTAGGGATTCTAGATTCTGTTATCTTCCTCTGAAAAGTGTTGTTTTTGTTCCAGCAGGTAATTAATTTTGGCAGGGCTCAAACTCTGTCTCTTATGGTGGGCAGCAGCTGAAGCCTCTGCTTATTTCTTTTAGCATTTTAGCTGTTTGTTTTCTGTCAGAAAGAACAGAGACGCCTTTCTGCCAGAAGCTCCCATTAAAGAGCCTAAGTAACATCATTTTGAGATTAAGGCCTCCATTAAGAGCAACCTCGAGCTGCACGTAGCCCCAGTTCCTCAGATTGCTCAAGGCTAAAGCCATCCTCGGACCACCCTCAGATCAGCTAATCAAAAAACATTCCTGTGGTCTGAGTCAAGGCTGGGAACTGTATACAGTTATTTTGTACAAACTAGCCAATTTCTCACTGCTTTCCTGAACCCCACGTGGGCCCTTTGTACTCACCTCATAATTGGTCATTTTCAAAGCATTCTCAAAAGTCATGATTGGGTCCCACCAAAAGTAATGAACACCTCACAGATACAGAATGGTCAAAGCTGTTACCATGGGTGCTGCTGTACAATTGTAATTGGTGCTTATGTGATGATGCCATATGTACAACATGTGCACTGTAACACCCCTGTCCCTTAACCCATAAAAACCCTGCTCACTATTGTTCGGGGCTTCACCTTCTGCCACTACACCGGTAGGCGGGTGAGCCCCTGCTCGAGCTTGTAATAAAGACCCTTTTGTACTTGCATCGGTGTCGGCTCCTTGGGGATTTCAGGGGACTCACGAATCGGGCACAACACCATGTAGGTTTATTGTTTAGGGGTCAGTTAGGGACTTGTCTGTATTTATATACAGATTTGGCGGCTCCCCCTTCTGTGATTCCCTTCTTTCTGTGATGTTCCTCCTCACTTTCCCGTCTTTTCAGAAGCCCTGAACTCTGTCCTGTTCCTCAAACCAGTTTCACTGTAGCTTTCTATTTGAGTTCCAGCTACTTACAACTAGTGGACTGGGAAATACCTTCAGGCAAAAACCATCTAAACACAAATCTCAGCCAATGCAGTTGTTCTCTTTCAGGGATCATTTTCTTTCTGGTTTGTCTGCTTATGGTTACCTTCAAATAGTCTTTTTTTAATGTTTTGTTGTGAATTCATAATCATTATCTGTAAGGGTTAGCCTGCTGCAATTACTCTTCTGTTACCAGAAGCAGAACCTACAAACACTTAAGCATGTAAAAGATAAGACATCAATTCTACAAATTGTTACAAGGAAATTAACTAATTCAACAAGTCTTTACCAGGCATTTACTTGGGCTAGTTACTGTGCTAAGAATAGGTGCTGGAATGCATTTGCGATCTAAGAATTATATTGGATAGCAGTCCACTTGAATGGGCCTGGTTTTTTAAATCTCAAAATAAAACGTTAGTCAGAGACACTTGCAATCACTTCTCCAACAACGAATATGTTAAACATACATTTACTCGTTCTGTCTTAAATACTTTATATGGTGGTTTTTTTTCCAAGAAATTCAGATTTCTGAGACCAAAAGCATCTGGAGTTTCGTTTAACAACACCAACAGTTGGTTGCAGTTAAGAACCCCCAACTTTCTTCAGCTAGTTAGAGATGTGTCAAAATATTTTTTTTCTTAGAAATCCTTGTTATGGAGTCACTTCTTCCTAACCTCTGTCGTTTCTCTATTTGGAAGAGAAGAAACTCCAGAACTAGAAACATCAAAAATAGGGGCATCTGGGTGGCTCAGTCAGTTAAGCATCTGACTCTTGATTTTGGCTCAGGTCATGAGCTCATGGTCTGTGGGTTCGAGCCCCTCGTTGGGCTCCACATTGATAGTGCAAAATACTCTCTCTCCTCTCTGCCCTTATCTTTTCTCTCTCAAAATAAATAAATATTTAAAAATAAAGAAAGAAATGAACAACACACTGAGCCCTCAGCATCAAACTGGGGGCTGAACTACTGGCAGTGAGCCTGGATGGTAAGCAGTATCCCCTTCCATTTGTCTACCTAGAATGTGAAATGTTACTAATCTACATAATCAGCTCTCATTTTCTACTGTATATGGGTAAAAAATAAAATAAAGGTGGAGAATACATCACTAAGTAATCCAATGTTATGTGCCATTCCTTTATTGTGGGGTGAGAGGTCAAGGTCAAGGTGAGCTGCTGCTGAGTTTCCATGTTTGCCTTAGGAGTTAGTAGGGTTTACCACCGTGCTTTGTGAGCCTAATGCCTCATCATTACTCTTATACCGTCATTCAAGATTGTCTTATGCATGGACTTCCAGGAGCTGAAGAGGGACAAAAAAGAGGTATAAAAGTGTTCTTGCTTTATAGTTTTATGTAAGTTTGGTGCTGGCTTTATTGGTGGGTCCATTGGGAAACAGCTTTAAGGCTAAGCTCAGCTTCCTACTCTGTGAGCCTCACAATTTTGCATACAGGCTGGAGATAAGCCAAATGTCCTTTCTATTTTCATTTAGTTTTTTGAACTCTATTCCTTTGTTTTTGGTTTTTGTTTTTTAATGATTCATCACCCTCCTTAGGACCCATCACCCATTTAGCCCAACCCCCACCCACCTCCCTCCATCAACCCTCAGATTTGTCTCTCTTTTTTTCCCCTTTGCTCATTTGTTTCTTAAATTCCACGAGTGAAATCATCTGGTATTTGCCTTTCTCTGACTTATTTCATTTAGCATAACACACTCTAGCTCTATCCACATCGTTGCAAATGGCGAGATTTCATTCTTTTTGGAATATATTCCATTGTATATATGTACCACATCTTCTTTATTCATTCATTAGTTGATTCAGCCACTATTCCTTTTCTGATTCTACTATTAGACTGGAGTAGCCTACAGAAAATCACATACAGCTAGGACAGAGTATATACTCCACATCTGTTTGTTGAATGAATTCTTTGGCTCCACGTAATATACTTTTGCTCCTTCTCCCTTTAATTACATTTCCCAAGTTTAATGTATTCTTTTAATAACAAATTATTTTTATTATGATAATTTTATCTCTACTCCAGACTTAAAATAGTTATGACATTACAGCAATTTTATGGTACAGTCTTCTTTTCTGATGAATCATAAATAACTCCACCTGAAACAGCAGGAGGTCAATAGCAAACACCTGTGCCCTCCGGAGGCTAACTTCTTCTTTTAGTGCAGCTGGCTGGCTAAACAACTGATTATTTAACATACTGAAGCTGTGGACCAATAGAAGCTGACCAGTGCATGCTGCTGACTATCTTCTACAGTAAAAAGAGAAGCAACAAGGAAAAGAAGAACACAAGGGCTAGTTACCAGTCTATTAGTCATTCCATTTTTCTTCCAAAGAAAATAGTTCCACTGAACCTCGGATGCGGGGGTGGGGGGTGGGGGGTGTGCAGAAGCAGGACCATCAGCTGGTGTGGCTTTGAAGTGTGGCTGCAGGGCTTCGACCCCTTAACCAGCTCAGCTGTTGAAGCAGAGCAGGAACTTCAAAGGCGGACTTGCTGTTGTTCTTGCCGGTGGGGGGTGTGATTCCCATCAGCTGGGTTTAGAGAAAAAATGAGGAGGAATTCTTCCTCTTCCTTGTCAAGGTGTGATGCTCACACGACCGACTAGCTTTAAGTTATGACTGCCCCTATCAGTGGATGCAAATAAAAACCAACTACTCAGTTTCACTGTGATTTACCTTTATTTATGTCCACTATTTTTACAAGTCATCCGAAATAGCCAGTTTTGGTAATTTGTCCAGATTGTGAAACATGTCAGTGACATATGTAAACTGCTTCTGCTCCTGATTGCGTTTCCTGCTCACAGAAATACACGGTAGTTTTCCCAAGAGCAAAGCCAAGTTTTAGAAGATCATCTCCTTCCTGCTCTGCTACCCCCAGCCCATAATTATAACTGTTTACAATCCTATAGTCAGTTTTTTATTCTATGTATTGGCAGTGCATTCAAGCTCATTTGTGAGTCAAGAATTATTGTTTTGTCAACAACTCACTTTGTACAAGACAGACATTTCTGAATAATATAATCAAAATATAAAAGCAAATGCAATTTCCCTCAATAATTTTATTTGGTCTCAACCTTTTCATTTAAAATTTATGTTCTTTACTTCACAATTATAAAGAGAAAAGGAAACAGTGCTTGGAATATTTACTCTTAAAATTAAGAGTAGTTTTGATTCAAAAACTAATTCTTGGACAGTTAAGTGGACAGCGAAGCTTCCTTGTTACTACCTCCCACCAACTTTTATTTAAATAAATGTGAAAAATTAGGTAGAAACATTTCAATATACGCCACAAAGTGCCACAAGATATGAGAGTCTTCAGGGAGGCTTATTATGCTAAACAAGTGTAAGTACCCAGACAGTGACATTAAACTTGAGAGTTACATGATCAAAAAAGCAAGGTGCTCACACCAGTAGAGAGGTGCCCATTTATTTGGCAGCATGGCTCCAGCATGCTCCAAAGAAGACTCTTCTGGTGGAAATGAAATCATAGGATTAAAAAAAAAAATGCAAACAAACTCCCGGGAACACAATGAAGGAAAACATTCCAATCACAGGAAGCTTCCATGATTAGCAGATGGGTTTGTTTCATTAGGATAGCAGAAAAGACAGTCTTCCGTGTAAGTTCTGAAGAACAAAGATAGGTAATTCAATTCGAGTGTGGTAACGACAGCAGTAAGAACACAAATTCGTCCATTATTCGTATTACATTCATCACAGAATACAACTGAAGAGGATGTTATTCCAATGAATGGATTTTTACTTTTTAATTTTGCAAAAATGTTCAAAGTGGCCTAAGCTCCAGATTCTCACCTCCAAAGATGTATGTTTATTCCTGACTGATCGTATCCTGAAGAAATCAAAGGTCTTCACAAGGTAAAAATCACCATTTCCGGTTATGTTCTATCTTCCTAAGTATATTCAGACTCTCTGTGTCCATGGCTTTTGAGACTTTATAAAAAATTTGTATAACAAATGGTGATGTAATTTAAAAAAGCAAAACAAAACACAAAAAACTGGGGAAAAGTCACAAGTAGAATGATTTTATGGAGACAGGATTTAAAAAAAAATGCTGTTCATAATTTAGTCTTTTTAGGAGCTTGCTACCAGACGGTTGAACAATTACTTATGTTGTTCATTTTCTGTCATTTCATTCCAATGAGAGTTGCACACTGTCAGTTTGGTTTTGTGGCTGCTGATAGTCATACTTCCTTGCTATTAAGAAAACAAAGCAAAACACAACAAAAATAGAGATAAAATTAATAAAAATAGCAAAATAATTATTTGCTAATATCATTAAATCACAGTCATGATTCTCAGTATAGAATTAACTTGGAATTAAGTGATGTTTTTTCATTAGAGGAAATTTATTATACACTTTTTGATCCTCTAATTTCCCAACACTGCTGATATCCATTTTTATATGTTTACTTTATTATTATTATTATTTGTATATTAGGATTATTCAGAGCTTCAAAAGACAAGGTAAACATTAAATTAAGCTGTTAAATTAACATTTTATAATTTCCTTCTTTCTTTGAAGTTTATTTATTTATTTTGAGAGAGAGCATGTACAGAGGACAGGCAGAGAGAAAAGGGGAGAGTGAAAATCCCAAGCAGGCTCCACACTGCTAGTGCAGAGTCCGATGTGGGGCTCGATCTCACGAACTGTGAGATCATGGCCTGAGCAGAAATCAGAAGTTGGATGCTTAAACGACTGAGACACCCAGGTGCCCTAATTTCCTTCTTTCTTACCTCCCACCTCCATCTTAAGCTAATAGTAATGCTTTTGTTCACATCATAAAGAATTTGACTTTATTTCAACTTGTAAGTCTAAGAAACTTATTATTGAACATTGTCATTAATATAAACTGTAAGAAAAAAGATACACATTCTGTGTTCTTTTTGTACTTCTGAGAAATGTTTATTGAAGAAAAATGGTGACAGAGTACAGGGTTAAAATCTTTATAAATGTCATTTACTGCCTACAGTTAAAACTTTCACTCACCTCCTTAAGTTTTTACTAGCCAAGAAGGAGACACTATTTATGCTCCTCAGGGTGCATCCAAATGTTTGTGGCCTAAAGTTTATACAATTTTGGGAGACATCTTTAGGAAAAGGAATTCTGTTTGCTACTTCCTCTAGAACTGCCTGACTTTGTCAGGGATAGGACATGAACACTAAGAATGATCCAATGTGATGGGATTCTTTAAAGGTGCAAATCCACACATAAACCATTTATAAGAAAAATGGCTTCTAAAGACGTTCACATCCTCATCCCCCAAATCTGTGAATATGTTATTTTATAGGACAAAGGGAACTTTGAAGATGTGATTAAGGTAAGGACCTTATAACAGGGAAATTATTCTGGATTATCTGGCCCAACCTAATCGCATGGACCTCAAAAATCAAAGAACCTTTCCTGAATCCAGAGAGGGACTAAGATATAAAAATGGAAGAATGATCAGAGATTACATGCTGCCGGCTCCCAAGATGGAGGCATAGGGCCATAAACCAAGGAACGTGAGTGGCCTCTAGAAACTTTCCAGCAAAGAGACAGATGCTCTTCTAGAGCCTCTAGAAAGAAATGGTACCCTGCTGACACCTGGTTTCAGCCTAGTGAGACCGCTGTAGGACTTCTACACTACAAAATTGTAAGACCATACATATGTGTTGTATTATGCCACTGGATTTGTAGTGATTTGTTACAGCAGCAGTAGAAAACTAACACATCTTACAGACACAGGAATTCAGATGAATTTTATTTTATGGCCTTCTTATCAAAGAAGAAAAAAAGATTGTACTGTATTGGTTTATAATAGTATATGTTACATTATTGAATTTTTATTTTTTTACAAATAGTTTATTGTCTAGTTGGTTTCCATATAACACCCAGTGCTCATCCCCACAAGTGCCTTCCTCCATGTCCATCCCCCCCCTCCCCCCCACACCCATCAGTCCTCAGTTTGTTCTCAGCATTCAAGAGTCTCTCATGGTTTGCCTCTCTCCTTCTCCCCCACTAATACCCCACTTCTTCTCCCCCATGGTCCTCCGTTAAGTTCCTCCTAATCCTCCTATACGTGCAAACATATGGTATTTATCCTTCTCTGCCTGACTTATTTCGCTCAGCATAACACCCTCAAGGTCCATCCATGTTGCTACACAAGGCCAGATTTCATTCTTTCTCATTGCCATGTAGTATTCCATGGTATAGATAAACCACATCTTCTTGATCCATCCGTCAGTCGATGGACACTTAGGCTCTTTCCATGTTTTGGCTATTGTTGAGAGTGCTGCTATGAACACTGGGGTACATGTGCTCCTATGCATCAGCATATTGAATGTATTATTAACAGAAGATAGCTTCTGTTTTGACTGGGTATCAACAGAAACTTATTTATCATTTTCCATACAGAACTTCTGGCTCTGTACTTCTGTGTTTTGTTTTGTTTTGTTGGTATTTGCTGGTATTTTTTTTTAAAGAACTTTTTATTGTGGTAAAATATACATGAATTTTGCCACTTTAACTACTTTTTTTAAACATTTATTTTTTCTTCGAGAGAGAGAGAGACAGAGTGCAAGCAGGGGAAGGGGCAGAGAGAGAGAGAGAGAGAGAGAGAGAGAGAGACAGAATTTGAAGCAGGCTCCAGGCTCTGGAGGCTCAGGCTCAGCACAGATGTGGGGCTTGAACTCATGAACCATGAGATCATGACCTGAGCTGAAGTCGGACGCTTAACTGACTAAGCCACCTAGGTGCCCCTTAACTATTTCGAAGTGCACAGTTCAGTAGCATCAGGTACATTCATACTGCCATGCAGTCATCACCACCAGCTGCCCACAGAGCTCTTCTGATCATCCCTAACTGAACTCCACACCCATTAAGGAATGACTCCCCACTGCCTTCTCCCCAGGCCCCTGACATCCACTGTTCTATTTTCTGTCTCTACGAATTTGCCTCCCCTAAGTGAAATATTTGCTCTTTTGTGACTGGCTTATTTCCCTTTATAATAAGAATCATTACAAAGCATAATGTCCTCAGGTTCATCTGTGCTGTAGCATGCGTCAGCGTTTCCCTCCTGTTAAAGACTGAATAACATCCTATTGTATTTCTAGATCACATTTTGTGTATCTGTCAAGGGCACTTAGGTTGTTTCTGCCTTTTGGCTATCATGAGTAATGCTGCTATGTTAAATTTTACTTCTTATTTTGAACTGGTAACATATGCAGATGGTACAAAATGCAAAACGAACAGAGAGGAAACAGTAAAAAGTGTATCTTCCTCTTACCTGATCAATCCTGCAGTACCCACCCTGTTCCTTCCCCTAAAGGAACTGCTGTTACTAGTTCTCAGGATAACATTTATGCTTAAGATTTTAGAAGTTCTACTTGTGTTTATGTGTGTATATGCATGTAAATATGTATATTTTCACCTGAAATTCCATTTCACCCGAGACACATACTAGTGATATCTTGCTGATCATTCTTTCTTGCATCTTTCTATGCATACACATACGCGTGCACACACATTTAATTTTTTACTGTAGACAACTTCTTTATAAAGTGTCCCGTCTTTCTCCCTTAAATCCCACACAGTCCCCACGAAGGTAATGAATGTTAATAATCTGTTGTGTATCTTTCCAAGCCTTCCTCCATGCTTGCATAATTATAGAGAACACTTATATTAGACATAGATAATAAAAGGGAGGTTCTGTTCATTTGATTTTAAAAGAGTAGCATCCTAGTATACATATTATTTTATCTTGCTCTTCTCAATAACACACCTTGGAAACCACAACTCATACTTTTAAATGGTGGCATAAAAGGCTGTGGCTTAGGTGTACATTTCATTATGACTCTACACATTTTAAACTTCATTTCTTCTCCACAACATACATACTCACAGTGTTCAGTACTATATGACACACTGAGACATGACTTCTTGCCTTGCATACTGATATTGCATGCCACATTCCTGGAAACAATTCCTATATTGCTTTGTCTTGCAGTAATTTAATTATAATAGAAATGACTGCAAACTTCATAAATACAAAATTCAAACCCAAACTAAATGCAGCTTCAACTCAACTTGCCCTCAGTCACATCCTCAAATGCTCTTGGCCACGTAATGCTACTCCATATGAGGGGTGTGCAAAGGAGGGCAAATGAGAGCAGGAAGAGACAGCAGTCTTAACTAATGAGTAAAATAACTAATTTTTTCAAAACATAAAAAAAAATCATCATATGAACACTTTGCTAGGGCTGTTCTCAGGGTACTGGAAGGGCCCCATGCAAGCAGAGAAGCGCCAACTACATGGCAGACCTGCCTTTGCCAATACTGTGGTCAGCATCTAAAAAAGGCCTATCAATGTTTTCTGGTAACCTTTTGCTAATTGAACTCACTTCCCAAAAAATCTATTTTATTCAATTAATTAATTAATTATTCATTTTTAAAATGTTTATTTATATTTGAGAGAGAAAGAGAGAGACAGATTGAGAGCTGGGGAGGGGCAGAGGGAGAGGGAGACACAGAATTTGAAGCAGGCTCCAGGCTCTAACAGAACCTGATGCAGGGCTTGAACTCACGGACTGTGAGATTATGACCTGAGCCAAAGTCGGACGCTTAATTGACTGAGCCACCCAGGCCAAAAAAATCTATTTTAAACATGTCTATATATACAGTTCAGCACAGAATATACTTACAAATGGAATACATTTCCAGTTGCTGTCTTAAACGAATTTTGCTTATTGTGTCATAAAAGCTGGGCTCTGATAAAGTTTCTGCTGTAGGCGGCACACTGAAGATCCTCATAATTTTCCTTTTGTTCCTAAAACACAAAACCAATACAGAAGAGAGATTTGTGTTACTATCTATTGGATTGTAATCGACTCAGGACCATAGTAATCAGGAGCTACATTACAAGGACTTAAGGGGTGCCTGAGTGGCTCAGTTGGTTAAGTGTCCCACTTGGGCTCAGGTCATGATCTTGTGGTTTGTGAGTTCAAGCCCCGCATTGGGCTCTGTGCTGACCGTGCTTGGGATTCTCTCTCTCTGCCCCTCACTCACTTGCACTCTCTCTTTCTCTCTCAAAATAAATAAATAAACTTAAAAAAAAAAAAAAGACTTAAGTAACAATGAGCTCATCTTCTCTTTTGTCTCTGTGAGATTCTTCCTTGGCTCAAGTGTTCTTTCTTTCCCTAAAAAGTCTGAAGCTGGACACGTATGGCCCCAGGGCTCTAAGAAAGAAAAGGAAGGTGAACACGTCCACTTAATACAACGAAGTGGTATACCTCCATTGTGCTTCCACTCCTTCCTCCCACCAAAAGCCAAATACTGTATGGGAAAATGCATAAACATCTTATTTTTCTCCTCCCTCTGGTGTTATCCAAATAAAGCTAAATTACTGGGTTAGCGAATAAAAAGAATGGGAGTAGATCTTAATTTTGGAAAATAATGAATCACCGTTATTTCTTAAATACAATAGCACGGCCTTAGTGGGGGCATCTACTTAAAATTAACAACGTTTCTCTGCTTTTAAAACGGGAGGGTCGGGAGGACGTGGTGGCTATTTTGGTTAGAAAGCTGTTACCTGCAAGGTAACTGGCGATGGTATGTGGAGCCTTCTCTCAGCCACCCTGCAGTCCAGGCTGCCATGGGCTAGCTGCTCCAGGGGTCATGCGGCTGGGAAGGGCAGACCTGCCTGTCTGAGAGCATGTGTGGGCTCTGACCTGCTCCCCAGGCCAAACATCAATTATTTCTTGATTACTAATTATTTTGAACTATCCAATGCCTTTTTAAAAATTTTACATTTATTTAAATTCAGGTTAGTTAATATACAGTATAGTATTAGTTTCGGAAGTCGAACCCAGTGATTCATTATATAACCCCCAGTGCTCATCCCAACAAGTGCCCTAGAGGAGCCTCTAGGATTTTGATGGCTTCCTGTCTTCTGTTTCGGTCTTTCATCCATTTTGAGTTTATTTTTGTGTATGGTGTAAGAAAGTGGTCCAGGTTCATTCTTCTGCATGTCACTGTCTCCCAGTGACCATTTGCTGAAGAGATTGTCTTTTTTCCACTGGATATTCTCTCCTGCTTTGTCGAAGATTAGTTGGCCATGCACTTGTGGGTCCATTTCTGCGATCTCTATTCTGTTCCATTGATCTATGTGTCTGTTTTTGTGCCAGTACCATACTGTCTGGAAGATTACAGCTTTGTAATACAGCTTTAAGTCCAGAATTGTGATGCCTCCAGCTTTGCTTTTCTTTTTCAACATTACTTTGGCTATTCAGGGTCTTTTGTGGTTCCATACAAATTTTAGGATTGTTTGTTCTAGCTCTGTGAAGAATGCTGGAATTATTTTGATAGGGATTGCATTGAAGGTGTCGATTGCTTTGGGTACTACTGACATTTTAACAATATTAAATCTTCTAATCCATGGGCATGGAACGTTTTTCCATTTCTTTGTGTTATCTTCAATTTCTTTCATAAGCTTTCTATAGTTTTCAGGATACAGATCTTTTGCCCTTTTGGTTAGGGTTAGGTTTATTCGTAGGTATCTTATGGTTTTTGGTGCAATTGTAAATGGGATCAATTCCTTGATTTCTCTTTCTGCTGCTTCATTATTGGTGTATTGTAATGCAGCTGGCTTCTGTACATTGATTTTTTTATCCTGTGACTGCTGAATTCATGTATCAGTTCTAGCAGTTTTTTGGTGGAGGCTTTTGGTTTTCATGTTGTTTACGAAGAGTTAAAGTTTGACTTCTTCTTTGCCAATTTGTATGCCTTTTATTTCTTTTTGTTGTCAGACTTCTGAGGCTAGGCCTTCCAGTACTGTGTTGAACAACAGTGGTGAGGGTGGACATCCCTGTGGTGTTCCTGACCTTAGGAGGAAAGGTCTCAGTTCTTCCCCATTGAGGATGCTATTAGCTGTGGGTCTTTCATATATGGCTTTTATGATGTTGAGGGATGTTTCTTCTAGCCCTACTTTCTTGAGGTTTTTTATCAAGAAAGGGTGCTGTATTTTGTCAAATGCTGTTTCTGCATCTATTGACAGGATCATATGGTTCTTATTCTTTCTTCTATTAATGTGATGTATCACGTTGATTGATTTGCAAATATTAATTCAGCCCTGTAGCTGAGGAATGAATCCCACTTGATCGCGGTGAATAATTCTTTTAATGTACTGTTGAATTAGATTTGCTAGTACCCCATTGAGAACTTCTGCCTCCAGGTTCATCAGGGATATTGGCCTGTAATTAGTGGGGTGCTTGGAACCAAGGTAAGACTGGCCTCATAAAATGAATTTGGGAAGTTTTCCTTCCATTTCTGTTCTTTGGAACAGTTTGAAAAGAACAGGTATTAACTCTTCTCCAAATATCTGGTCAAATTTCCCTGGGAAGCCATCTGGCCCAGGACTCTTATTTGTGATCAGATCAATGAAACCAAAAGCTGTTTTTTTTTTTGTTTTTTTTTTTAAGAATAAACAAAACTTGGGGCGCCTGGGTGGCTTAGTCGGTTAAGCGTCCGACTTTCGCTTAGGTCATGATCTCGCGGTTCGTGGGTTCGAGCCCCGCGTCGGGCTCTGTGCTGACTGCCAGCTCAGAGCCTGGAGCCTGTTTCAGTCTGTGACTCCCTCTCTCTCTGACCCTCCCCTGCTCACGCTATCTCTCTCTCTCCTAGAAATAAATAAAATATTTAAAAAAAAAAAAAAGAATAAACAAAACTGATAAACCCCTAGTGAGACCTCTCAAAAATAAAAGAGAGAGGACCCCAATAGATAAAAATCATGAATGAAGGAGGAAAGACCACAATCAACACCACGGAAATACAAACAATTATAAAAGAATACTATGAAAGATGATATACCAACCAACTGGACAATCTAGAAGAAATGGACAAATTCCTACATACTCACACACTACCAAAACTCAAAGAGGAAGAAGTAGAAAATTTGAACAGGCCCATAACCAGCAGAGAAATTGAATCACTTATCACTTATCAAATATCTTCCAACATACCTACTGCCTTTTAACCTTGGCAGAGAATACCGAGAAGCACACGGCCATGAGGAGAAGCAACTCAGTCCAATGAATACTGCTTTTCCTCTTCAAGGCACCTACCTTTTCTTTTTTTTAATTGTATTTAAAGGAAAGGAGCCATGGAGTGTGAAAAAGAATAGTTAAGTTATGCTACAACACCTGAAATTAAAGCAGGAAATATTTATTGAGGATTTGCACTGTGTGGTATACTGGGGATGCAAAGATTGAAAGGGAAAGCTGTTGTCCTGAAGGGACTGAAGTTTTTGTGGAGCAGACACAGAAGTAGTCAGATAATACCAATATTACTCAGTAAACGCTATGATATGGTCATGCACATGAATCAGAAGGGAGACTGTAACATGTGCCAAGAGAGAATTGCTGAATACATAGGAATTAGTGTTTCTGCATTTTAGGGATGTGGGCCAAAAAAATAAGCTCATTCTGGAGTGACAGTGGACCCAGGCTGGATGGTAAAACTGAGCTAGATTAGAAATGATAGAATGGGAAGGCGAAGCCAGTCAGGGTGCCTGGAGCTGCACTTGAATCTCCAACTTTTTTTTTTTTTTTTTTTTTTTTAAGACAGAGAGAGAGTGAGCATGAGCACAAGATGGGGAGAGGGCAGAGGGAGGGAGAGAGAGAGAGAAAATCCTAAGCAGGATCCACACTCAGCGCCACAAAGCTCACATGGGGCTTGCTCTCATGACCCTGGGATTGTGACCTGAGCCAGAATCAAGAGCTGGACCCTCAACCAACTCAGCCACCCAGCCACCCCAAAATTTCCAACTCTTAATGCAAGGGGCTCTTCAAAGCCAAATCTTGGTGTCCAGAGCTTGGGGAAAGACCTGAATAGATAGTGCATTCATAACAAGAACAAAAATGCTCATTTTTGCAATGATGCAAAAATGCACTATTTTTTTGTGCAGTTTAATTTGGAACAAACAAACGTGTAAACCTTTTAAGTGCCCAGTTTCTTACCAACCCTGAAATACTAAAACCTTTACCTCTTGGCATACATGAAGAGAACAAAGCTAACAAGGATCACTACCAAGTAAACATTGGTGGCTTCATTCCAGGCCTCATGAACACTGTAATCCATAGAGCCATCGTCACCCATCACTCCGTAACCTCCAGGCATGGGGCTAGAAGAAAGAAAAGAGAACAGGGCTTCTTTTAGTTACTGGTGGCATGACCATCCGGAGAAAGGCTGGCAAACATATGGGCTGCTGGCTGGCTTCAGTCTGCTGCCTGCTTTTAGACGGTCCACGAGCCAAGAATGGTTTCACGTTTCTAAATGGATATATTTTAAATGGTTGTAAGTACCTGTATAATACCCTTGATTTTTGCTTCCCAGCCCTCAAAACCTAAAATATTTATAATCTGGCCCTTTAAGAAAAGTTTGCCAACCCCTGGGCTAGATAACTAAGGCATGTAATGTACTTCCCTTTATTTTTGATTTTGAAACATTGTATCATCTCCATGAAGGTTAAAACTGTAGTTAATCTGGCGCTTGTCCACTTCTCTCCCATGCAAATGGAAAACCTTTGGAGTTTTATCTAGTTTTGGCCTCCTGGCCAAATGCAGTTGAAAGAAGCTATGGGGTAAAAAGTTACTTTTTGCTATTTACACAGCTGTGACTTCTATTCAAGGAAATGCATTCTTCAGACATTCCCACAGAAAATAAGAGTGGTAACAGCAAGTGTTTCAAATTGCAAGTAAAAGAGTAATGGTGTCCCCTTGGTGTTTGCCTTAGTTGAATCTTTCCTTAAAGAGGAAAGCGCCTCCCTTGTATTGGACAGAAAAGGTAAACCTAAGAGAAATGACCTAATACGTGAAAGAAAACCAAAAAGTGTTGTTTTAGACATCTATGAAAAGGAGAAAAATTGAGCAAGTTATAGGCGATAAATGTACAGTAGTTTCTAGGAATAAGTAAGACAGCCATTTTCTAATTCCCAGGAAAATTGTATCTGAAATGTCCAAGAAATTGTTTTGCAATTTTTTTCTAGACATCCTACAACAATGAAGGTATTACAGACACTCTTGCATTAAAATATCTTCCAATCTCCTGCAAGCCTCCAAAACGTTCTGTAACGTAGATCTGGCTCAGTAAGTTAACAAGTGTGCATTAAGGGTAGTCTTTCTTTCATATAGCTTACCTCTGTATAAAATGAATAAAATTTCCTCGCAGATCTGCTCCTAAACAAGGTGGCATGTTTTCCCTGTTCTGACTCCTTAAGTTTTTGTCACATGTTTGGGGACACCTTGTATTCATTTACTATAAAGTGAGTGTCACGAATGCTCATTTAACTTAAACTCTCGACACTGAGGTCAAGAGTGATCTTTTTAAAATATCTGGGTTGGTGTCTGATGAACATAAACTGGTCTTGTAAAAATTGGTAAATAACAACAGAGCTTAAATTATAAAAATTTATAGATGCAAAATATAAATATTACTTAAACATTATACCATACCCAATTCCTTGATATTAAAGCCTGGCTATGAATTTTTTTTTTTTAAGAGAGTAGAAGACATAGGGAGACTTGGCATATTTATCATTTTAATTCTTATTTCTTAAAACTGAACTCCAGACTTTCTCTGAAAGTAACATTATGTATGATTCATAGTAAGTCATCAGCCTACTTTAGAAATGGAAACTTTGGGAAGACACGAGACTGTAATTGTCCTTATGATTTCCGCAATCTAGAATTTTACTGGCGCTGAAATGTAAAGTAACAACAACAAATGTGTTTTTGGCAAAAAGACCTGACTTTGGATGTCTGATTTGAGATGCTGCAGAAAGCCAGGGACAATTACGCTACAACGGTGATAAGTTTCAGGATTGGGAGCTATTAACAGATTTGGGAAGAAGCAGAAAACATACGGCAATGGCCACTGGAACATTTTGCAGGTGCGCTTTGTCTGACAAATCATGGAAGTGCTTCCTACCTGTTTTCTAACACCTGAATGGATCTGAGCCAGGTTAGTTTCTTGCTTCAATTTCTCACAAAATTCTGTTCATGGGCCCTTTGATAAAATGGTGTATTCCTACAGAGCTTGTCTTCATCCTGCTACAAATATGTCAGTCTTTAATTGTATGTAGAGAAGGATTTTGAATTACTACTGACCCAGAATGGTAAAATTTTAACGTGAATTAAACAACATGGATTATACAACATCACTGGTATGCAATGACACTACCATTCCACAGTTCCAGGGACATGCACTTGAGTTATTTTTAGCACTGTAGTTGTGAAATATTTGCACGGAGGGTAGGACTTGCCTGCCCAGTCCTCCATCATGACCAATGGCATGGTTTTGCAAGACTGCCTGGAAGAAGGAATGGCCTTGTCCAGAGTCATAGTACAGCCCCATGGCCCACATGTGGCCTGAACTATGACCATCACTTCCCAGCACACTACAGTCTAACCAAGCGTACACATATACACTTGCTAAGTGCTTTCTACATACCACTGCAGCCTTCTTCTAAAGCAAAATGCACAGGGGTGTTACAATGGTTCATTTCTCTTAAGTTAATGTTTCAGCAAGATCATCGAGGTAGCTAGCCAAGTGCCTGGATCATCGTTCAGGGCTCTTGTGAGAAAACTGAACTTTTTTCACATATTTTTCCTGTACAGTAATGCTTGACCAATTTCGGCAAGGGGATTCCAGGATGAGCTAACTCCCAAGTAAAACATTAGTATCCAGAGACAGAGTCCCCCAAATATGACAACTAGGGCTTAGTTTTAGTTTGATAAACTTTTAGGTTGAGATCTAGGAGAAAATTTCCAGGGATCGAGTGACTATATCCGAAGTTTTAAAATCAGTTTCCTGATCCAATGTCTAGGTGGTTCTAAGATGGAGTATCACTTGTCATCATACCTTGAATATTATCACTTTTTGTCTCTCACTTAAGAGCTTTGCTATCTTGATAAATTCAGCTAGGCATCACTTACATACCTGCTTACAACACAACTCACTGCATAAATGTAATTTTCTTTGCCTTCTGAAAACACTTAAAGGTTTGCGTTCCCAAAGCAGAAGGGTCCAAAGTAACAAGCCTTCAACCAAAAGGTAGAAGGGAATTAACATTTGAGGGTTTAGACATAGGGCAGTGCACATACGGAGTTTTTGCAACCGCCCTGGTGGGAGGCACTAACGTTCTATTTCACGGAAGAAACCGGGAAGGTGGTAGCGGTGGTTATGTAACTTGCCCAAAGTTGCACAGGGTAGGGAGGGGACCGGCAGCGCGATTATCACATATAACCGACTCCCCAAACTTGAACCCTTCCAAGCCCTGACGCCGGTTCCGTGACACCGGCTTCTCCTGGTAGAAGATCCAATTCGTGCGAGTATAAAATATAATGCTCTCCCACTAAGTGGCCACAGGCAGCCTCCGGAGCTGCCGCGACCTCCTTCGCGTTTCCGCCGCTCGCAGGCTGCGCGGGACTCAATCTTAAAACCCTGGCGCTGAACTCCAGCCGCGCCGGGGCCGTCTCTGCCGCCCCCCGTTCGCGCTGCCGACGCGGCTGCTTTGGCTTTTTGTCCGCGTTCCTGGCCCTCGGAGCCTCCCTGTTCCTTACGACCCTGAGAGAGGCTCGCAGCGGGGTCTGGACTTGTAGCAGCCTCGGGGCCCACGGCGGGGGGCGCGGAGCGGGCAGCGGAACCCCCTCTCCCCTCCCCCGCGAGTCCCCGGCGGGGCGGGCCAGCGCGCGGGCGGGGGGCGGGGCCGGGTGACGCCGCCCCGCCCGGGGCCCGGGAGGTGCCGGGACGCGGGTCCACTCACGCTGCTGGCTCCGGAGGCGGCACGCGGCCAGGCTGCTCCGCTCGGGGCTCTTTCCCCTGGAGTCGGGGCCGGACGCGCGGGACCCGGTTACCGAGCGGACCTGGACGACCTCTGCCTTCGTCATTTCCTGCCGGCCCGCCGGTTTCCGGATGAAACGAGGAGCCAGGTCTTTCCCCCCGCCCCCCCGCCCCCCTTTTCAGTTTTTGAACGGGAGCGACGCAGCTACGGCCCCGGTGCCGCCCCCGGGCGCGTGAGTGGAGCCGGGCTCCCTTCCCCTCCCCCGTGGCGCGTCACCGCCGCGCGCCGCCCTCCGCGAGCCCCCCGCCCCGAGCCCGGAGCCCCCGCGGGAGGGCTGGGCGGGCCGGGGCGGCGGGCGCGGGCGGTGGGTCTCGCCGCCCCCGCCTGGAAGTCCACGTGGGTGTCGCGGTTGTGTGCCAAAACCCGGCGAGAAGTAGCGGGGACGGGTCATTACCCGGGAGTTCCGTGCCTCTGCCCGCCCCACTTCGGCGCGCTCCGGGCGTGATTGTCAGCGTGGGAGGGGGGACTGTGCATTGATTGTCCCACGAGTCCGGATTAAGCTGGGAAACACGAAGATTTTCTTTTTTCGTAATGAGGGCGTAGAGTTACTTTTAGTATTAATAGTTAAGAAAGCGTGTGGTTTGCACATCGTCTTTCCGTTTTCCCTGTCCTAATAAATGATGCGTGGCCGAGATGGCTGAGGTGTTTTAAAAACTGGATGTGCCCGAGATGCCGCAGTATTGTCGGTTGAAGTGATTTTTGTGTATTTTTTTAAAAAATTGTGTGTAAAATAGATTTCTTTGAGAAATAGATTTGAAAAACGGATTTTCTAGCATAAGACAGTTAACGAATTTATGCAGGATTTCAGCATCAGTGTTCAAGTAATCAGATTTCAGTGGTTGGTAAGCAACCTTGCGAATAAATGGCCACTTGTCCGCACGCTTGAAGTCTTAACTATTTATGTTGAGCTAGTTCTCTAGGATCAGCTGACTGCTAATTATAATTCATACTGGACCTTGTAGAGGTTGTATTCTTAATAAGCAGAAGTTAAGAGCCAACATTTAACCCAAATCCCTTCGCAAGTTTTCTCTGCCTTTTTTGTGGCTCATTCTGTTACAATTAAGCTCATCCAGACGGATGAAGCGCGGTACTTGGTACAATAACCTACTATCTTTATTTAGAGTATTAATACATATTAGGTTTTAAATATTGTATATACATTATCACATATATACACATACAAGTAATTTATAACCGTTTAGTTTGACTCTAAAGTTGGAAAATTAGGAACAATAATAATGGGTAATGTTGAGTACTTGTTTGCCAGGCCTCTGCCAAATGGTACGTGCATGCTTTATTATTTAATCTTCCGGGATAACTTTTACATAGGCATAGGTTGCTCAGAAATTGTGAGTACATGGGTTTGATTTGAAAAGATCCAAATGTGGAGTATGTACATTGATTACTTCTGTTTCTGTTTTTGTGAAGAAGGGTGTTGGCAATATAAAATGACTCAGTAGATGAATGTGTTTTTCAAGTTGGAAGATGGCTTTAAAATTGCATGAAACTGCAATTAGTCTCTTTATTTGGGTATTCAGTAGTTTCTAAAGTCCTGTGTCTCTTACTTATCCAAATTCCAATTACATATCATTGTCACCCAATGAACAGGTTGTTCTTAGACATTGGAGACATTGGAAAAAGGTAAATTTGGGAGAAGCCTTAATGGGCTGAAAGGCTCCCTCTTATATTTTTTCTAAGTCACATTCCTAATTAGGGGCTGACAAATGACAATGGAACAGAAAGAGTAATTTTCCAATACCAAGCCAAGGAAATAAGAATCAGCTCGCTCTTTGGTGACTGAGTCTAACATCCATGGTATATGAATGTTAAAAGAATGTTAAATTATCTTTATTGTAGGGTCTCCACCTCATTTTTCAATTTGCCTTTAAATATCGTAAACAGTTTGGAGTCCAGTACTTTGTGCATTAAGAACTTATGTTGTTGATTGGAATTGAATAGTTTTTGACTTTCTTAATCAAGAAGTTTATTTTGACTGTTTCCAAAAATACAGTGTAATGATTTGGATAGGCATAACAGTGAGTATGATGGGAAGGTCTAACAGTTTGCATCTTCTGAGAGTAGAAGAGGTTGAAAAGGACTGGAGGGGATGAGGGATGTGATTGGAAATGTCTTGTGATGAGAGCCTGTTGGACTTAACCTGTCTCCTAATTCTAGGGGTCCATCGGTGGAGAGGAGGAGGTTGGGAATGCTTTGCCACTCAGTATTTATAAGAGGGTTCCTTTAGCTGCTGGTCTTCTCTTTGGGGGAGGGGATGAGTGGAGAGTTGTCATCAATGGAAGGATGTAAGAAGAAAAAAATGCGCATATTTTTCTTTTGGAGTTAATGTTCCCACCCACTGTGACTAACTGATTCTCGTGTCAGCACAGGCATCCTCAGGCACTTTCCTAGTAGATCCTTGGTATCTGTGGGCAGCCACTAGTAGATCAAGGAAGGAAAGAAAAAGAACGGAGTAGAGACAAAGCGCAAGGATATCCAGCAAAGCATTAATAGGCTCTCCATTGGGGCAGAATCTAGGAACTGAGCCTCCAGTGGCCCCTGTAATGAAAATCATTCTAATAGCACTGACTGTATATATTGAAAATCTCTTCTGTGATATTTGTATCCAGGAATCTGGAGAGTATTCCTTTAATGTACGTTATCAACAGTGGAACATTTAGAATACAGTACATGAAAGTTACTGAATTTTTCACAACAGCCATTTTTGTATCTTTGTCCTTGTTGGAAAGTCAGAGTGACCATAATGCCAGCATTGGCTCCCGTTTGTAAGACATGTAAGCAGTGTTGTTTCATCGTTTTGGAAGATAAGCTCTTCTCGTCCTTACTTCAAAACTTGACTCTCACATGGAGAGCCCTTTAAAGCTCCAGAGTACAGGGATCTTTTCTGTCATTCATTGCCTTATCTCCAGAGCCTAGAGCTGGAGCCAGACCCATGGAAGGGACTCAGGACTATTTGTGGAATGATCACAAATACGGTGGAATCTTCTCCTTTTCTTTCCACTACTAAAGATCCTCTGTAACTTTAGCACACCAGCTTTACCTTCTCCACAGAATCTGCAGCTCATGATATGGCCTGTTGAATGTTAGCTGTTTATACCACATACTTTGGCATTTAATCCCTAATCCTTTATGCTGTTAAATAAGCTTTTCCGTTTTTTGTTTCCCCACCTAAAACAAAGGCTACTGAGGGCTGAGACTATATAAGGTACTA